TACTAAATAACTCTAAAACACGTTAAGCATCAATTGACTAGAATCATAGTACATTACGTTGCTATATAGGCTGTTTAGTGCATATACAGTTGACAAGATGTGTCACAACAATGTGGTATTTTCATTTTGTGACCTAAGCAAGAAATTTTGCATTGATAACTGACTATTCAAATAGATCATTTCAGTGATTTGACAGTGTCATTTCACAATGAATCATTCACATTTATTTCATATGCTGTTTATTCAACATGCCTAAGTGAACTTTTGAATTATTTTAGTTGATGTCGTAAAAATCTTCACATATTTTCTTATTTTCTATAATCCTTATACTCTAACTATACCATTGAAATGATACCGTAAGCTGACAAAATAGTTTAAAACAAACAATGAATAATTATCAGGAATAAAAACGACTGACTAAATTTGTACCTATAGTAATTTTTACATTGAATTATGATTGATTCGAATGTATTTTGAAGTGATTAGATCTACAATTGTTTTGCTCTATTTTAAAGTATTTTGTTGTTAATTTTATGTGACAGTCAAAATTCACATTTGACGACCGTTTCAATTTTCTAAGCAATGTTACCACAAATATTTTCAAATTTAGTTGATTCAAAACAATCCCTAGAATAAATTCACAGTTGTTCGCAAAATAAACATCATGATAGGGGATTTTCTTCTACTTCATGTTTATCTTTTTTTAGGTGAGAAATTAATTTAATGAATAGCATAAAATGTCTTGGAAATGCTAAACCCTGATCTACAATAAATGTTATGCTAAATTAAATAACTTTTGACCAACGTAGTAGAATCGCATACATCGGAAACGTTTCTTGATTTTCAATGTTACCCTTACAGATAGGTTTAATAAAATACTGAGGTATCAAACACGTAATTAATCAACATTATACTCGTCCTTCTAAACTTTAAGTGTAAAAGTTAGGAAACTTCACAAACCTTAGTTTTATTTAAACCAGAATGTGAAACTATGGCGTTAGTCAACTGTTAACTGTTGTGAAATCAAGTACGAAATTCCCATTTGTCTAGAGGACGTGTATAAGTTGCCCTGATGAACGTAGAACCGTTTATCTCACTGTTTCAGTTTGATCTAAAATAACTTATTATTCAAATACCGTTTATATATTATGTCTTGTTCATTTATATGTTAGTAACAGTACTAGACATTCAAGCTATTGATTACAAGGTCAATATAATAATATTTACTAGCCACCCTTGGGATAGAATCATTTCCCAATCCAGTTTGTAATGATAATATGACATTTAGGCGGTTTGATCAGCATCAAGATGTCAGCTTTCATGAGAGAAAATCGTAAGGTCTATTGTTATAACATCATTGCTGATAAATCCACTGTTTTTAAATACCTGAGTTTTATAAACCCGTACACTAAACTGAGGTTCACCTTGTGGAATTGTCTGATATTCACAATAATGAGTTTTAGTTGCTGAAAGGTACAAAAACTTCATTTCTTAATTGAACTAATTTAAGCGAATACATTATGTATTTGTCTTCCATACTGACTTATCCTTTCAATATTATCTAAAATTTCAAGTCATAAACAAAGCATAATTTTGAAGTTAACTAGTCTGTCACATGATTAGCATGTTATGTTGTAGTACTCGTCAAAAACAAAGAACAAAATACGTAAATATTGTAAATAACACAAAAAAATTACAAGCAGTAAGAAGTGATAGTGTATTTCTATGCTAAACATATGCGAACGTTTGCTAAATCCACAATATGTCTGCCGATATTTGATAGCTACACAAGTTATGGGTCATACTTATTAAACTTAATACAAGAAGTATATACCATGTGTATATTACAATATAACTAAGTTTATCCTCAATAAATATGATACAAGAATTATTATTTTATCTTGTAAAATAAGTCGAATATATTATTTAAATTTAGTCATATTATTTTGAAGGGTATTTCATTCAAATTCTTTTTCACTAAAAAATACACTTTGAAATGAAAACAAACTTTAATCACAAGTTGTGGTTCATTGGTTATACTGTGAATCTGTACACTTTATTATATCAGTGTAACATAAATGTGATTTGCTTCAAGTCTTCAAATAAGTATAGATAAACAAAAGTTAATTATACGCTTTACTCAGTGTTATATATATATATATATAGATATAGATATTTCTTAATTGTTGTACTCTTATTGATAAAGAATTTTTAAAAAGTAAGAAAGAAATGGTTGATTAAATAGAAAATAAGACGGTAGTCATTTTTAACAATTCTTCGATGAAAACCAGTACAACTGATTTAAATAACAAATATTCAAAAATAAGTACACTATATCTGAAATGGATTAAATACTACTCTTCCATTGGATTAAATTAGGTTCGTGCGAATAGTAGTGCGAATAGCTTCTTATCTAATGTAGTAGAGTACTGTAAATCGTGTGATTATTACATAATATCGCTAAGCTAAATGAAGTTATTCATTATTATTTTGCCCGTAATTAAATACTCGAATGAGAGATTGCATTATCTTTTAAAGTAAAGGTAACAAATCTAGTTAATATGCAATATACATTTACTTAATTTTTGTTTGTACCGATTGTAACTTGTGTTGAGTAAAAACGTAAACTTTTAATCTTCTCTAAGAAATAAATAATCTTTTTTAAAATCTACTATTTGTCCATTCAGTAATAATCCAGGTTGAGGTAAAAGAAATTCTTATTGGATTTTATCTCGGTGTGTTTATCATTAGGATTTCGTCGAACCTTTGGGTTGTCATAAAGAGGATTTTTGTTTGTTTTAGAAAAACTAAGAAAATGTGTATACAAACATGCTGTTTTCGTACATATAAATTGTCATTAAAAAGTAAGCGACATGAGAAACCTGACTTGCATCATTTTTACTTGATAAATCCCATTATTGAATATGACCAACCATTGAGGTTCATGATTACATTGCTAGCAGTTAACAAAACATTGTCACGATGTTTGACTTAGTCTTTTTATGTTCACTAATAAATTATTCCCAAGTTGTCAAAATATAATTCAGTTCCAATGAATATAGCCCTACGGAAAATTCTAAATGATATAATGTGTTGATCATTCCCCACAAAGTTTTCTATCCATCAAAAATTGCATTCGTTTTATCACTGATCTGAAATCAAACTGATAAAAGAACAAATTACTATTTTTTCAGGTAGTTCGTCCTACGATTCTGTGTCTTTGTAAACAATAATTCAAACAGTAACGAATATTTATATGGAGTATGTAACATGAACTCAATATGCCATCAATATAATTTATAAACTAGTGTTTCGCATCAACCATACGTAAAGCAGCTGTTCAGTTTGAGTTTCCCTTCTTGAAAAGATTGTAAACTAATAAGAAAGAAAATTTGAACAGACCTAATTTTACTGATTTATAATAAAGAAGAAATCCACTAGTATGCTTATGTACTGGACAGTTGTTTTGGCCTATTATAGGACTACTGATCACAGTATATCTAACTCAGGACTTTTGGTCTTGCGTGAGAGCTCTGAACTTCCAGATAATTTGGGACAACTTATATGTTACGGCTTCCGGCTATCAGTCACTAAGTTCCAAGTTCAAACCTCACTATCCCCTGCTTCGGTCTGTAGAACCATCAAGCATCACTAGCCCTCAGACCTGTATTGTAGCTAATACTTGAATGCCTCCCTAGTGAGTTGTTCTACTGATTACTCATACTGGTTAAATTCAGTATCACCTACGTTCTCAAATCGATAGATCCCAATAATCAGTACAGGACGTAAAATATATACTTGGTTTCATTCTTAAATGCTTTACTGAATAAACCGATAGCTCTGAAATATCAAACCAATGACTTGACTTTTATAGGTAGTATTAATCAATGTAAAGGAATTTCGAATGGACTATGTATAAGCTGAATATTTGTAGACCTATCGACATATGTAGCTTTTGTGTGTTTATTCTTATCTAGTGTTGTAGTTATTCACTATTAAGAGCTTTTAGTTTGGAATAAAACAAATGGCTAATACATACTGCTTCAATACAATATTTTACATGCAATAAACTGTTTGAAATCTAAAAGTTATTGTTATTAGTATTTAAAAAGTTTTCAAAGTAAATGATTAATTACATTCAGATTCTTAATTAATTTAATTTTTTGATAATTTCTAATTGAAATTAGATTTTCAAACAATCAGTTTTTTTACTCCGGATCCTTTTATTTAGATCTTTAGATCACATTACTTGGCACTTAGGGAGATGTTTTTACCAAGTATAAATTGTCCTTTTTTTCGAATCACTTTCTAAAAGAGTAAAAAAATTAAAATTAAATTGTAATTACATAATTTGTTATTTTTATGGAATAGTGATAATTTATACGATATCAATAAGGTAGTAAATTTTGTTAGGAATATATTTAATTGTGTGAAACAACGGCATCCATTATTGACCTTTCTTTTAATTTGGAGTAAATGAAAAGTTTGATATATTTCCAAATAGATTTGGTGTTGGGTTACAACACAAGTTTATATTTCACCCATTGATTGACGAGGAAATTCAATTGTAAAAATAATATTTACCTTAAATTGGCATATACTGGGAAAATGTTTGAAAATAGATACCAGAGTAGCGGACAATAGTTTAGACACAGTTTTGGATTTCAGTTGTTTGCTGTCAAAAAGATTAAAACGCAACTTAAACTAATAATGTTGACACAGAACAGAAATAAACCGAAATTATGAAAATATATTTAAATGAAGTGTCTGTTAATGTGTGGCAACGAAGAAATACATTCAGTTGAAAATATAGATATTGTTGACAAAATTATTTACAATCCACGTTTCTTGATAAACACGATGTAACCGATTTCACATTTTAATATTTGTCATTTGTTTAGACATTCAAAAAATGACTGCACATTAAGAATACATTGTGTCAAGTAATTTTCTGCGTGTTGATAGTGGTTGTTACTTTATACATTTGAAATTTTTTTCAGGGAGAATGAATGCTTTGTGGCATGACGGTTCTTGGGATCCTTCTTGGGATACATGGTGGCACTACAAAGAAGGCGTAATGGGAGGTATGGATTAATTTTTGTTTTAGTCGATTTTCCATGTTCCACATATAAAGTTGAATGATTATTTTAACATTTTTTTATAGCATAATCTTTACAAACTACATGTAGAAAATGGACTGATATACACATAAATCAGCGTTTTGCTTTAACATGCCAATCAAATCCGTAAAATCAAGAGTGATAATTTAAAATGAAATGAACTTTTATTATCCAATATGATAAGAATATAAATATGCACCAAACAAATACCATTAATGAATTTATTTGTTAACATTTAACAATAAAAATGGATTATTCTTACACTTGATTTGAACAGTCTAAATTACTATTAAACACCATGTCAGTTTGAGTACAAATGTATTGATTCAATTCTCAAAATAAATCTGATCCATCGTGTTCTTAATTCTCATTTGTATAGAACATTCATATACGGTAAAATATTACCGCATAATTTACATAACCTTAAGCGTTTACTGTTTTTAATTTAGCAATTAAAAAAACTCACATAGAATATTTAGAAACAGAGAATATTTAAGCAAACAATCGTTTTCAGTAACTTTATCATCCGTTCGTATCAGTTATTTGAATCCTCCTCATTGATATTTAAGACTGCAGTCGATAAGTTTCTTTTGCGATTGGATTGGTTCAATATTGTTGTCAAGAAAGAAGCATTGTTCATTGACGTCCCAATTTAAACCTGGCGGCACTTATAGTCCAAATATATCAAAATTTTAAGTGAAGATTTTAATTTTCATGTTGTCTGTTTGATGTGATGAAAATGATGGATCATTGCTAATACTCTAAGAATCTATTTCAATATAGTGTTTCTTCTGAAGTTAATTCATTTTAAAATGTTTGAGCCTTATGTTTGATATGGTAACATATACGCCAATATTCAGTTACATGCAAATGACTTCAGCTATTTTTCCAATAATGAGATTTTTATCGAAAGATAAATTGAAGTGTACCGACTAATTATTAAACTCCAATAAAAAAGCCGTTTTTAAATTATTTTTTCGTCTAATCATCTTTGTTAATTTTAATTGCAACGTTTTCATGAAGAAAAAACAGTGAATTTCCAGTATTATGATTGATCTGGCATATAAATTTAAAAATATTTTGGTCCATTTACTACTAGGTCCGAGTCATTGGGGACAGACAGCTTTCATGGCCATTGACAATGACGTATGGCCAGCTTGTTATCAAGGGAAAATGCAATCTCCAATCAGTATCTCCACGAAACATCTACTATTTGATCCTAATTTAGTGCCATTGAAAATCTCAGGTTCAGATAAGCAAGTAAGTGTGAGCCTGATTATTTACACCACAGTGAATTCTTGGATATTTCGTTCTATATAAAGTGTCAGTCCAATTAGATGAAAACTGAACAACCGAATTCAGTACTATTTTAAGAGACTGAAATAAAAATCGACTTTATTATCCGGTAAAAGTTAAATTTACAAACTGTAATGGGAAACGTGTATCTAAGCAAATGTTCGACTGTAAATTCTTTCACGATTAGTTTGATATAATATAAAAGCTAGGATAAAGAGCAATAAAGTGTTCAATATACTGACGAATTCTCTAAGTATTTTTAGAGAACGTTTTAAGTATGAACTCCCTAGTTTCTGAAATGTGTTTGTTGGATTTTTCAATTAACTGATTTTTTATTCATAAACGAAAATAAGAAATCAACCAAGAGTGAAATATTTGCTAAAACTGCAAATCAATTCATGCTGCATGTACATACAAAGAAATTTACTGGTCTTACACTGAGAAAAATCTCCATGAGATCCAAAAATTTGAAAACAAGCATTCCTACTAAAAGTGTTTTAGTGGCCCGTTGATCTGACTCCAATTCAGGTCGTACGAGTATTTATTATCACCTAGCCTCGCATACAATCATCGACTTAAATCACGTTAGTCAATAACGGAATTTAGATAAGTCAATTAACGAGAATGGCCTTTGAATACATGTATTCTGTAAGTAAATTGAATGTGATAGAACAAAGCAAAATGACGCGCAGGAGAGATGACTGGTAAGCCAACTCATTTTTAGCCAGGCGTTACTCAATATTTATAGGCAGACAAAATAAACTACAGGCATGTGATGAGACATGGGATATGAAGTGTACACACATATATAAAACAGTCAAGACTGATAAGTGAATAATTGACAAGGTCAAAATATGACTCAGGTAGAATGAATAGGCTGGGCTGTCCTAAAACTAGAATAAGATATATCATGGGCTTAAAATAATGACTGACACTACAAGTCAACGAATAGATTAAGCAGTGAATAGTGAAGGTGGCAGAATGAATATCTGCGCAGGCGGTGAACCATGTTCGTTCACACATATTTCATGTAAGAACAATAATAACAAAAGTACAACATTTTGTTATAGTGCGAATGACTTTGTTCGCTAAATAAGTTAGCAAAAGGGCTTAACTGAGTTAAATGAGAAGAAACTCAATTGCACATGAGTCGCTATAGTGTCTTCAGAAGAGAGAATCCAATTGAAGACTACAAATTCTGAACGTTCTATAAGTTGCAGTAACTGCATGAGTCTTGATTCGCATTATATACATTTAAAAAACATCTCTGCTTGTATAGTTGTGTAGCTGACATTCAAGTTGTTTATTTCTAAATTATGTACTTCAGAACATTTTATGTTGTAAACTGAAGATCTAACCGAACTTGCTAGTGTAAAATTGCTTGTTATTCAAACCTAAGTTAGTTTAATTCAATCAGTAGTAGAGCAGAGTAAATGATGAAAAGTTACATCTCGATTTATTAACTCTTATGTACATTTTTTTAGATTGATGTGGAGGTAGTGAATACAGGACAAGATTTACAGGTGAAAATCCTCGATTCAATAGCATCAATTGTATTCAGTGAAGGACCATTAGTATATAACTACAAATTCTTTGGAGCTTTAATCAAATTTGGCTCAAGATCAGATCGTGGTTCAGATCACCAAATTGATGGTATTGCTTTTCCCGCTGAGGTATCTGCCTACTGAAGAATTAAAAGAATATTTTGTATTAGATCTCATATTTATCTTTTAAAACGGTTAGTAGTTCTATACATCACTTTATAGATAAATAGCTGGTAATAACAAAATAGATTGTATTATGTCAAGTCAGTTTGTTTAGACATTATGTTCGCTTAAACCGTCAAAATAAAAATAATATTAGATTATTGAACCACACTGTGTCATTATTCATTCAACAACATAAAATATTGCTTTTGTCATTGGACACATATTCAGTATGAACTTGGTTTAACATCTGATTTTAATCGGCATATTCACTAACTCTTACAGCATATGCGAATAGCTTTCTGATTGCTTAGCTAAGACTGTGTTTCATTACATGTAATTATATGAATTGGTTTATGTTATAACGTCTTAAATAATTTAACGAAAATAGCTAAATTATGTTTATACTGGTATTACGCACTTCTTCTTTTGCATATTTATTTCACAGCTACAACTGTATGCATTCAATTTTATTTTATACCAAAACTTTTCTAACGCACTTTCAAAACCAAATGGCTTAGCTGTATTATCTGTTCTTTTTAAAGTAAGTTTATTTTGTTAGTTCTCTTCCCATTATGCCGATAATTAATATAAAAGAGATTTACTAGTGGATGTAAACTAAATAATAAAGGTACATAAATTGCCGTCCTAAAAAAGTAGAACTATTTATTATTGTTACATTTATTCAAGAAACAAAAGTTGTGTTCGTTTGAATGCATTTCTGACAACATATATGTATATAAAAATATATATTGTTGCTAATTATGTAAGTAATTATACATTTTATCAAATGAAATCAACATTATCATTGTTTAGTGTTGTTTGTGAATACAATAACATGTAAAGCTTAATAGCAAACTGTATAGTCTGTCAACGAGATAGGAGCGATGGCTCAGTGATTAAGGCTTTTGACCTTCAATTAGCAAATTGCATGATTAAACAACTCTTCTTATATTTCGGTTAAAACAGCCGTATGTTATTAACAGCAGTGATATTTAAAATGTGGCTCCAATCCAAGTATATGAATGTCTATTCATTAGGTGAGTTATGGAGAAAATCGACGGAATGAGGAACCTGAGATATGTTTTCTCACTCTATCTGGGGGGATAAACCTGAAATTCAATGCTGTTAGATTACCTTAAAATAATAATATATATTTATAACATAATGTTATGGGCAGTAGGACGATGGATTATTTTAATCTATTTAAACAATCTACATTTGAATACTTACAATTGAAGGACTGACTTGATATCTGGTCATTTTTAATATATAAGTAAGCTGAATACCTATGAAATCTGATTTAAGATTTACGACATCTCGAGTTTTATTTGTAATAATTATAAATCATCAGTAATCAGTATAAAAATATATATATGGTGCATGCTACTTATGCTGACAAATACAAGTAGTATGTAACACCAATCAGAAGTGAAATGCCTGCCAGAACAAGATTGAATTGAACAGAACAGGAAAGGAAACAGAGAGCGATTGAAGTAACAACAGAACTAAAAGAATCAAGAAATACTTCAAGAACAAATGAAAGAATATGTGCGGATGGTGTACCCAGTCTATGGTTTTCATATTTTACGAAAGCACTCTGTAATCCTTCATAAGACCGTAAATTGGTCAACCCCACCTAAGTTTTCGTCCACTACATATATATAATATATCTGGACAAGTCTTCTCAATAAAATGAGCCATATGGTTCACAAATTGCCATGATTTCTTGATGTCAGTTTTGAGAATGACTGGATTAAATTGATTGAATCTCCACAAAAAGCTAGTAAGAAATATATTTCTTAAACAAAGTTGACCAGTACAATAAATAGAAATTAACTGTATCTAAATTACTGATTAAATTAGTTTCAACTAATTTATTTCTGTAATCTTTCAGATTGGTGATCAATCGTCAGCTGATTTGGAAGCATTACTATCTACGGCAGAGCAGGTTCAATTGAAAGGTATACTCTAGTCCAACTCTTTTAGCAATCTGACTGTACTACATTTTGAAACGATGAAAATATATCAAAGTAGACCGCTCTTTGAAATTAAACAAATCGTATGAATCTATTACCTTGATCCATAATAATGTTTCTTTGCTGATAAAATAGATTATAGACATTAGTGTGCTTAGTTGTAATAATTATGATAAATACCGTTCCCGGCAAGCTGTTGAAGTTTGTTTTTACCAGTTGCATGCTCGACAAATCGTGACTGACGTTGCATAAATTATGGATTTTTCTAATCATTTCAGATACCTATCTAATGAGATGATATTATTATTTAATATCATTTCATTCAAAGTTAACCTGTCAAACAGAATAAAACAACTTAACATAAACAGACATTGCCAACACACAACCGAATTCGTAAATAATGTGCATTAGCCAGAAAATAAAAATGTCCTCTATAAGCATGCTACTAAAATTGAATATTATTACTGAAGAATGAATTGATAATTAGGTAGATTACTTTTGTCAGTTCGCAGAAATTTGTTTATCATTATCTACATACTATTATGAATTTAGATGAAAATTGACAGACAGTATTTACATAAAAGAACGTAACTTTTATTGTGTATTACATGTTATTCCTATGTATAACAGATAAGATGGCTAGAAAATAGTTTCAGATTTCTGTATGTTGCTGCCAATATTCGATTATGTAGATATACTCATTGTCTAATTTTTTTCATTATTCTTAATTGTATTAACAAACAAATGTTCTTTAAAGGACAATCTAAAAGGCTTCATGGTTTGCTGTTGGATGCTGTTTTACCGTCTACTATGCAATATATTACTTACCAAGGCTCTTTACCATTTCCTGCCTGTTATGAGACTGCAACATGGATTTTGCTTAATCAACCGATCGTAATTACAGAAACTCAGGTAAGACAACATCTATTCACAACTCATAGACTATTCTTAATAACTCCAAATATGAAACTTTTTGTGTTGAATAAATTATCCTAGCAACTAAGCGTATAACGAAACCATAATTATAAGTTTCCTACAGAGAATAAATATATTTAAATTAAAAGCTGATCTTAGTCAGGATAACATTGAGAACGTGGATGCACTAGACGTCTGTTTTATTATAGAAAGAGACATCTCAGCAGTGTACGTCAACGACCATGGAAACGGCAATCGAACTCAGGACTGCCATCTTGTATGTAATCATATAAGGCATAAGCTTTCATAATAAATAGTGGCGAACCTCAATTAAAACAATTAGTCCTTTTGGAAGATGAAGTTTATCAGAATTATGTGATATATTTACGTAATACATTTCAAACAATCTGTTCACACATATACTTGTTAAGAACATTTTTATATGAAAATTAAAAGGTCAACTAGACAGGTGAAACATAAGTCGTAACAAACTAAAAAATAATAAATTACAGAAAAAAAATGTGATAACCACTCTAAATAATAAATCAGTATTACCAGGGCATGTTAAGTGTAAGGACAAATTATTTTGAACGCACAAAGAGGGTTTCAATTTCCGTATAGCCAACGCTTCAATAAACCTTAGTATACGTCCTTGAATTCTTTTGTACAATACTACAAATGCTGACTTGATATCAATGTTATGATCAGTCTCCATCACATGTTTCGCAATTGGGGAAGACGTCTGTCTATCATTTGATCATACTTGACCATCGGAATTCATCTGTTTCTGCAGCCATTTTGGTATGTGTTCACCCACCCTTAATTTCAGATCACGATTGTTCCTCCCTACGTACGTGTTTAATAGACACAATCGGATGTGGCACAATCACTTACATGCTGTTTGGGTTTTCAGTGAAATGTAATTCTTGTCTTTTCAATAATGACAAGTCGGGCTGCATAAAATGTCCGAATGATGGCTAATTACGGCTAAATTATGGAAATAACTAACAATTGTTGACTAACTAATTATTGATAAGAAAATGCTAGTTTCTTGCACTGCCTTCTAAAATATCAGCATCACATGCTACGGTTGGACGATAGCATAACTAGTCTCCTTACGAACTGGCTGAATTATAATGGTGTTATAGACAATACTAATAATTATAAATACCCATGTTTTTCCTTCCCAATAATTACTTCCCCTGCTTCTTTCGTTTTCTGGTTTGTAACTGTGGGATTCTACACTTTCGACTGCCGTTAGTTGTATATAGAATCCTGTCGTAACCAAGTAGAGGACGTAAAATTGGCAATAAAACCTAGCCTTGTCTGACATTAAAGTTCATTTGGAATGAGTCTGTGAACTGCTTTCCATGCACGGCTTCACAGTGCAGAACTTCGTAAGAATTCTGACTAAGGCTGAATTATACCAGTGTTGGAGGTGGTTCCATGGGATTCTCTTATCATTACAACCAAATGCTTCCTCATAGTCAAGGAGGTTAATGTATAGTGACGCGTTCCATTCAATTGATTGTTCAACGATGATCCGTAGTTTAGCTATTTGGTCCATGCGCATTCGATCCCTGTTGATCTCGAAGCTGGGTGTCTACAGAATATTTCATCCAGTTCAGAAACACTCTATTAAAACCTTTTCCTGATACCGACAGAAATGTGATGCCCTTTTAGTTCTCGCGCCTGATCAGATTTCCCTTCTTTAGTGCCTTGATATATTAACCTTTCAGTCAGTCAGTCAGTCAGTCAGTCAGTCAGTAACAACGTAGAACTTCGTACCTACGTGCGTACATCAGTTCGAGTTGCCACACCACATTAGCACAGAGATGCAGTTGTCCATTCAAATCCCGTAGTGATAGAGGTAGTAAGGGTATAAGCAGTAATCAGAAACATTAGGGTTTGGAGATGTTATTCAAAGAGTATAATCCAGTGAAATAAATTTGTGAAGAGGAAAAAAGAGACATGGAGGAATCAGGAGATTAGAATTTGGAAGATCACAAAGAGTGGATGCACCTGGGCCATTGCAAACATATTAACCTTTACAGTCTGTTGGTACTTGTTCTTTCTCCGAAATCCTTTTGAAAAGGATGTGCAGCATCTTAAGGATTAATACTTTGTCTGGCTTCAGTGCTTCAGCTAGTACGCTGCCTGGTCTTGTTGCCTTTTTACATTTGATGTATCTGGTGGCCATGCTAATTTCTTCAGTTGATGATGACGTAGAACCTATAGGAAGGTCTGTATGTGCTCCTTTAATGTCCGATAGGCTCATTGTGGCTTATTTATCCAAAAGTTTTCCAAAGTGTTCTCTCCATCTATTCCTCCGTCCTTAAATCTCAGTGACTGGTTCACCTTCTTGACTGATCACGTTGGTTTACTATGTTTATTTGTTAACAACCTTATATATCATTTTTCATGTATTCTGTTCTTTTATCGATACAGATGAATAAAGAAACATCATCTATTATATAAGTTACTACCCGACAAATATGTCTGATGACGATTTTTAGTACGAAATCAAAAGAGGATTGAGGTATCGTGTGTATTGTGTGCATGAGAGTTACAATCATAAAAAGAGGTCCACTACAGATAATTAATTTTCGAAAGATCTATGAAAGCTAACTGCGATGCTTCTATAGTAGAATTTCTGGTTTGCATAAAATATTCCAGGATTTAAAAAAAGCTATTACATATTGTTAAAAAGTGGTCTCATATAACACAGATATTGAAAACCAAACAACTAATTAGTAAAGATTATTCTAAATACAAATTTGCTCAGAGTAATTAGTGTGTACATTGTTCGGCATATAAAAATTCAACACTATACTTCATTTTGAATAGAAAGTTATCCCTAAAATTACTCTGTTTGTGTAAAATGCTTTATCATATAAGTATAGTTAGTTTATACGAAATTATTAAGTGCATATTATTTTCATGCCAAATTTTCCGGAAAATGTACTTGTTTATTTGAATGTTGCATCATTCAACTAAAAGACTGATTGTGTTTTTCACTTATTATTACTCATGAAAAACACACATAAATCCAGCTTGCATATTATGATGAAAATAGTTTTAAAAAAAAGGGAACGAATATCCTAGAATCATTCAAACAAACAAAATCACATGCTAACACTCGATGATTATTTTGTTACTGGAAACAATTGATGCATAAAACTAATCAGTCCTTTAAAAATATGAATAACTCACCAACAATTTTGATTTGAAATGTAACATTTTGCAGTGATATATTCGTTTAGATTTTTTAATGCTTTTGCTTAGTCGGTATGGTCAACAACACTATATTAAAAGGGATGTATATAACGTTATTGTCGCCTTTTAAATATATTATCTCGAAAGAACTAATACATATCTGTTTCTATCTTATCACACTAATATCTTAGCTAAAATCTCTTCGTCAACTTCGAATAGCGCCATTTCGAGGATCAGGCAGCATGGCTGACAATTACCGAACCATTCAAAAATTGAATAATCGATCAGTTCGAACAAACATTGATTTTAGGAAGAGTGTAAGTACGCTTGTTTGTTATATTAAATAATAATTAATCAATCCATGAGATAACTGTGGTTTCATACGAAAGCTTAAATAATGAACATTTAAAATAATTGGTAATTGACATAAACTTGACAGATTCATACGCACTTCCAGTGAACTTTTATATGTAAATGGTCTTTTACATGTGTTTATTTTATAAGAATGAAGTGCTATCTGGATATATATATAATAGAAATAACACGTTTCAGATATCATCATAATCCAAATATTAAATGGAAAACGCAGAAAAGTATTACGATAAGGTTTTCTTTAGATAACTTTTGTGCTAATACAAAACGACCTACAAAAACTTACATACGTCTGTTAACGCCGATGGAGCATAGGCCGTCGACCAGCATTCTCCAACCCACTCTGTCCTGGGCCTTCCTTTACAGATCTGTCCAATTGTTGTTCATTTTTCTCATATCTGTTTCCATTGCTCGGCGTAATGTGTTCTTTGGTTTTCCTTTTTTCCTTTGGCCTTGAGGATTGCATGTGAGGGCTTGCCTTGTGACGTAGTTGGGTGCTTTCCTCAATGTGTGTTCTATCCACTTCCAGCGCTTCTTCCAGATTTCTTCGTCCGCTGGAATCTGGTCTAATCTCTCTCATAGTACGTTGTTGCTGATAGTGTATCTTGCGTAGACTATTATTAATAAACACTTATATCTTCTGTATGATGGCTTTCGTAGTTCTTCAGGTTTCCGGCCCATACATTAAAACTGTTTTGACATTTGTATTGAAAATTCTCACCTTGGTTTTGGTTGACAGTTGTGTTGACTTCCAGATGTTCTTCAGTTGTAGATATGCTGCTCTTGCTTTACCGATCCGCACCTTCACATCTGCATCAGATCCACTGTGTTCATCAATGATGCCGCCCAGATATGTAAAGGTGTCAACTTACCTTAAATTAAAAAAACCTAAATTCTCTATGTTATTCATTTAGATCGTTGTAGTAAAACCTAACTACACTCAAAATAAGTAACTAAAAAGGTTTACAGTCATTTGTAAACCATTTGAATTAAAAATAGCAGTGAGCGTGTTGTTAGCTTCAACAACATCATGATGAAAAGTGTGTCAAAATTATTCTCTAATTATAGGAAATTTTGGTTTTACATCGAATATAAGTTTAAAATGAATTGTTTATTTCTTCATAGGGTAATATCTTGAAAGTTACTTTTATATAACGATTTACATAATTTATATTTTGGTTTATTTTAAAGCAACCCTTCTGTTCAATACAAGCTCAGAGGACATATTTTGGTAAGATAATGTTTATGAGTTACATTGAATGGTATATTTTTTCTATATACTTGATATAAATAACTACGAAAAACAATATTTTGATATTTATACAACGCGTTACTTATGTATTCATTAAACCAAAAACAAACAGTTTTTAAATTGACAGAAAACAAAATTCGTTTCACCATAAGAGGAGATATCCACAGTAAAAGTGAGTACCATATGTTTTTAAAAGTTATTGGCAACTTATTTCATATAGTACGTATACTTCAATTTCGTCACGCAGAGGATAGCTAAAGGACTCAATTCGCGAAGGGAAATAAGAAAGAGTATTATTAATATACAGGTAGAGGTCGAATTCACTATCAGTATACTTGGTTCGTTGCGGTTATATTATGCGTTTTCTGAGAACAAAAGAGTATATATATCGAATAATATTTCTTATAATATTTTCACAGATTGAAATCATGAGTAAGTTGAAGCTAGACCACCATTGAAAACCTGGAAGCACTGGACGGCCGTTTCGTCCTAGTATGGAACTCCTCAGCAGTGCGCATCCACGATCCCGCACCACGCGAGGCTCGAACCCAGGACCTACTGGCTTCGCGCGCGAGCACTTAACCATTAGACCATTGAGCCGGCATCCAACGGTGTCAATGTCTAACTTCAACCAGTAGGTCCTGGGTTCGAGCCTCGCGTGGTGCGGGATCGTGGATGCGCACTGCTGAGGAGTCCCATACTAGGACGAAACGGCCGTCCAGTGCTTCCAGGTTTTCAAAGGTGGTCTAGCTTCAACTGACTCATGATTTCAATCTGTGAAAATTTCTAAAGATCTCCACAGACCCCTTCTTATGATATTTATTTTTAAAAATACAATCTTTAAAATACAATTAAATGAAAATTATTATTTCATTCCTCTTTTGTTTTACATGCATTCATACATCATCCTGAAACTGTTCTAATTTGATTTGGATCTCTGTGATGATAATGATTATTTAATGGTCAGTAGCAGCTTCATTGCCATAATCATTTAACATTCCAAACCTTTTCTTAATTATTCTTATTTTTGCATATATATAAAGAACTGATTTTCATTTGACCATTTTTTTATAGGTATTCAAATGAACTGTTAATAACATGTCTTTATAGACTAAGCTTATTTTAATATGTAAAGAATTATACAGTTATCGGACAGCTTTTTTATTTTAAGGTTTTTTTAAAAATCTACCTCATCATCAGGTATTTGGAATGATGTAAAAAAGTATTTTGATGTAGTGAAACATGTACTAAACAGTTATATTTAGTTGTTTTCTTTGTTTAATGCATTTAACCATCAGTGATTTCACGATAATCAAGTTCTTCTGAATATTTCTGTGTATTATTATATAAATATCTTCTTTATGTACGACTGTATATTTTTGCATGTATATATTTATTATTGTACATTAGAGAAAAAATATCTTTGCTTAATATTACTTACATTCATTGTCTTTTGATGTTTTTCAATTAGTTATGTTCACATGTAATCAAGAGGAGAAAATAAATATTTCGGAATGCTTATGACAGTTTGTACCGAATAATGTTCCATAATTAAAATTAACACAGACTGATAAATAAAGATTTTTGTGTTATAAATAAGAAAATTCACTGCGGTTACGTATTTGCTAGTTTCTTGATCAAGGTAACATCATGCCATAAGTTCACTGCTCTATTAAACTGAGATTGTGCATGACGCCCAACGATATTTTGAAATAAAAATGAAACAAATCAGCGGAAATCTGTAAAAAAAAACACGCTAAATGATCATAATAGTATACTTAAAGTATTTTAGTATATTTACTTGATGACGTGTAACCAAGTTGACATTTTACTAAACGAGAAAATGCGTCAATCGAAATTCTAGAAGTTAGAGCATTGCTTAATGAGTTGACTTTTCAAATCTCACAAGACTGAAACCCAGGAGTCAACTATTTGCAAAGAAAGTCTAGCCGTAAAAAAATTACAAATACCCTGCGCTATTTAAAAATGATGGTGTTTTCCCTCGCTGAGTAAATTTTATTATTTTGGTCGTTTATCACGTATCAAGACTACTGTTTACACTTTGGTTGAATTTATTTCAGTTAAAGTATCAGCTAAGAGTATCGTTTTTGTTTCCGAAGTAGTTTATCGTCGATACCTTTGAGTGCTTTATTTCCAAAGTATTTGTTAGCACTTTTGGTTCTAACAATTTACAGTTTTCCACGTTTTTGGTCATAAATAACGTTTGTACTTGGGTGTTATTATATCTAGTTTCCTTTCGAAAACCTCTGATGGCTGGACAGCCTAAGAGAAGCAAATGTTAACGCTCGGATTGTTGATATCCTGTTGAAAGTGGTATGCAGTGCGACGAGTGCAAAAGCTGGTACCGAGAAGTTTGCACGACTCTAACACCAAAGGCTTTCAAACGCTTTAGTGATAATGGTTGCATGCGGTTTCGTCAACAGTGCACTTCGAACTCAAACAGCTTTCTAGCTGAGGCCATTTCAGTGAGAAATGCTGCTAAAAAGTGTATTAACATACGAAGTCGGGAATTATCGGACAGTACCTGCTCTGTCGACACACAAATAGCTTACTCACATCAATCAAGGGAGGAAAGACCGATTTCAAAGAGGTCCGTCTTATGTAAAAACTCAAGAAAAGTTTCCTCTATCCCTCGTCCTCTAAATGCTAGTCGGCAGGAAACGTCTAGAAATCTCAACCGCAAGGCTAGATTTGTCTCTAGCAGGAAAAACAACCTAACTGTCCATGTCGTCGTTATCCTTTCGGAATCCTACAGTGTATTTGATGCGACCGTTGTTGATATTCCAACTAAAGTTGATGAATGGGTACAGGTCGACAACAAGAAAGGACATAACGCTATTAAAGAAAATCCAACCCCCGAAAAAGTAGCCGAGAAATCAAAGTCTGATCACAGTGACAGGTCAATTATTTTTCATAGACTCAAGGATAGTGAAAGCTCAGACCCTAAAACTCGTTTTGAGCATGACATTGGGTTGATAAAACAGCTACTAAATCAGCTTGTGTTTCAGCATATCTCCGGAGCCACGTTGCTAAAGGTGTATAGACTAGGTAGCAAAACGAACTTGAAACAAAATCAAACCAGGCTGCCTAAAGTAATATTTCAATATCCTACGGAACGGTACTTAATATTACAGAATGGACATAAACTAAAGGGTTCAGGAGTTCTTGTCTTTAAAGGCTTTCCACTCGAAGACAATGTAACAAGGCGAGAAGCCGAAAAGAAGAACTAAAACTTATGTTAGATGCTTGCAAATAGAACCCAAAACTTGCACATTTTTGGGTTGTGAGGCTCCGATGGAGAATGATGCCGAAGCCACTATGGGCGCAGCAAAAAGTCATTTGAATAGGTTTCGGATCTTGTACACAAATCCCCGAAGCTTTCTCAATAAAAGGTTGAAACTAGGTGTTCCGATTCACTCTATCAAACTAGATATAATAGCAGTCACAGAAAATTGGCTGACGCGGCCTATAGATAGTATGGGACCTGATTTTGAAGGTTTTGCGTTGGTGAGAGCCGACAGAATTCGGAAGAGTATAGGTAGGGAAGTAGCTCTGTTTACTAGAAATACTATACCACTTGCCATTATCCACAGTGTATTCAATAAAAGTGGGACATTAGAATTAGTAAGTTGCCGCTTGAAATGCAAGGGACAAGAGCTGCTGATTGGTTTGGTCTACCGAAGTCCAAGCTGAAAGGTAAATGAGGTCTTGCTAGACACTCAATACTTGGTTAGAAAGTAGTCGATGTCTAATCCTAAAATCCTTTAGTACACTCACAGTAGACTGGAAAAATCTGAGAACTGAATTGTCAGAAAGTTCCTTCAGGCAGAAAATGGTTGATGAAGTTATCACATGTGCCCTAGTGTAACACGTAAAATAAGCAACTAGGTACGATCCGGAATCTGAATCATCCTTACTAGATCCTATACTGGCCCATTATGATGACGTCACGAACCTCGATTACAAGCTATCCCTATGTAAAAGTGATCACTCATTTCTCACCTTTGACTTCCACACGGTTCTCAAAAACGGGCACACGTCAGCTCAACCCAGATCTAACGTCTGAAAAGTAAATATAGAAATTAGAAACCAGTCAGCCTAACCAGCGTGGTTGTTAAAATTTTCGAAAAGACTGTTCAGAATGAGCTGTTTATGTATCTCAATGAAGACCGGATCCTTTTGGAAAATGGACATAGTTTTGAACCAGGTTATTCCTGTCTCATTTACTTATTAGTGGTTCGCGAAAGCTGATGGGCTCTTAAAGATCAAAAGCTATCTGTAGTCGTAGCCTACACTGACTTCAACAAAGCTTTTGACAAAGTTCCTTACAATCGGCTGTTATATAAGTTAAAAAATGTCGGGGTTGGGGGCATTCTAATAATGCGGTTAAAAAACTTCCTAGTTGAAGGCCAACAAAGAGTACGGGTGAACTCCAAGTTGTTTAGCCGAGAAACTGTGCTTAGTGGAGAGCCTCAGGATACAGTTTTGAGGCCAGTGTTATTCCTATTGTGTGTGAATGAATCGCCCATCATCATTAGTCTTGCCATATGATGACGACGTCTATATACAGAGAGCATTCATATATGATGAATAAAACTGTGTCACCTGTTGTCCAGACACACAGTAACTCAGGATTCATCGTTATCCAAGACTTAAAAACTCCTGAACACGCGTGCAATAGCCACCTGAGGTTTTAGAACTATATGATCAATATGTAAGGCCTTTAGTCATGTCGACGCTGAAACGTTTTTTGACTTTTTATACATTATTCGTGTGTCCTATACTTGAGTACTGAATACAAGAGGCTAGCTCCTGTTTAAAAAAAGATAATGAACTTTTGGAAAGAGTTCAGAGAACACCAGCTAAGCTGATTCCCAGAATAGGGAGGCTCCCGGCTCGACTGGCTAAACTAAATCTATTCCCGCTGTCTTATGGAAGAACTAGATGTGACCTGATTACAGTTTTCAAATTACTTAGTGATAAATTTGCACCTGATATGCCCTAACTTTCGTCTTTCAAAACAGAGAATTTACGACGACACTTTAAACAAATTACATGTCAGCTGACTATCAACTTTCCCATCAAATCATTAACGAGTGGAATTCATTACTTCACCACGTGATTGAAGCTCCATCTGTCGACTCTTTCAAAAGAAAGTTGGATCAACTGAAATACCATCACTACCAGGACTAACACATGCCAACAAGCCTCTTGTCCTTTGCGAACTGATACTGAGACTAATAATTCAACGTTTCTGTTTCCTTAGAATTTATGGGCTTAACAAATAGTATTATAAATGATTAACTGTGACGCTAATCACTATCAAACCTGGAAGATCATATCTTCCTAGCAGACTAATTCAAGAATTTTAATGAGTGTATTTCTATCGCTGTCATGAAAACAAATAGTCTTTCGACTCATCACACGCAATACTGTTTTGTTAAGAACTGTCAAGAAACATGAAAATGTTTATAGATATTTGATGGTTTTATTACATGGTACCACACTTCTTTAAATCGGAAAAAAAGAACATCTGAATTCTTGAGGAATAATTCCATATTATTAACCTGCTCTTGAATCTTTAAATGCAGTAGCACACCGAAAATCTTGTTTTGCGTTTCATTTATATTCTGAAGCATCAGTATACGTAAATATAGTCCGCATCAGTAAGTAGATAATACAGAGTTGAAGGCAATACAGATTGATAACTGAAACAGTTTTCCATCAATGCAATTGGAAAATTTACAAAAAGAAATAAATGGTTTAGGCTTAGACAGTAATTTTGATTTTCAAATAAACTCGCATAGCTTTTCGTTCAATTATAAGTCGATCATTTGTACTAAGGTCTTAATGTTCACTTATTACTTAATTACTTAATTAATTGATATATGCTTCATCTGCCATGGTTATGGGACATATGCGACTTACTTAATATTTTATAGATACCATCAAACGTAGTTTTACAA